TCCGATAACCAGTAGAAGTCCGGCGTCGGGTACAAACTTGGCGAAGAGTGAATGTCCGGTGTCGGGTAGAAGTCCGACGTCTGTTAGTGGACAAGGAGAACTCCGGCATCACTTGGGCGGAGTTTCGGCCTCAGGAAGGAACTCTGTTGTTAATTGAGAATAATTTCAGCATCCCGTGGAAATTGGGCAGAATTCTGGCGTTCTCCCGAATATCCGGCAGAATCCCGGCGTGTTCGGACGGCGGAAAGAACTCCGGCGATGGTCGAGGAGGAGCTGATTCTCCTTCCTCTTCACTACTTCTCCTCTTCTTCTTGCTTCAGTCCCCTTTGTGAAGAATGAGGGCTCTATTTATAGTTTTTCTGGAGTGGCATAGCTCGTAAATAGGAATGAGATCAGGGGCGAATAGGGAGTGGTCGAATGGACGGCCGATATTGAATCCTACAATCGTGCACCGTTCGTTGGACATTTGAAGGCCTTAGTGATGTCGGAATTCGGCGATCTTGGGCTCGTTGGATTCGTCTCGTTGAGCCGCTCGATTCGACTATAAGCTCGCTGAAATTGGTGATCGTTTGGTAACTCAATTTGTGGTACGAGCTTTCCAACAGCACTTCGGGTGCTTGATTTGGGCTCACTTGGGCTCGGATCGAGTTGAATTTGGTGTCGTTGAGTTCGTATTTCCGAGACGCTCAGTTTGACTATAAGCTCGCTGAAATCGGAGTTCATATGCTCCTGAATTTATTTTTTTTTTTAAGTTTCCGGTTTGATTTTGCCTCGAGATTCATGCTTGATCAAGATAATTTTTTTGAGAATATATCACGAATGATCCTGATTTTAAGAGTACTTGGGATTCTTGTCTTGCTTCTGGAACGGATCATTCTGCTCAGTTTGTTATTCATCAAGGGTCTCTTGTTTAAAGGATCTAGACTTTGCATAACGAAAAATTCTTTAAGAGAGCAACTTGTGTGCATGAACTTCATAGTGGGGGATTGAGTGTACATTTTGGGTAAGGAAAAACTGTTGTTTTGATTGAGCATAAATATTTTTGGCCTCATATGAGAAAACAAATTGCTAAGTTGGTAAAACAATGTAAAATCTGTCAGGCTTTTAAGGGAACTTCTCAAAATACTAGTTTGTGTACTCCTCTGTCTATTCAAAATAAACTTTGAGAGGATATCTTTATGGATTTTGTTTTGGGGTTGTTTGTTACTGCTAGAAAGTTTGATTCTATTTTTGTGGTTATGAATCGCTTTAGCAAAATGGCACATTTTATTCCTTGCAAGAAAACTTCTAATGTTTCATATATTACCGACTTGTTCTTTAAAGAAATTGTTCGTCTTCATGGTTTTCCTCTCACTTTTACTTCTGATAGAGGTACTAGATTTTTGAGTCATTTTTTGGAGAATACTTTGGGAAAAATTAGGAACTACTCTTCAATTTAGCAGTGCATATCATCCACAAACTGATGGGCAAACATAAGTTGTCAATCGAAGTTTAGGAAATTTACTGAGATGCCTTGCTAAACAAAAACCATCCCAATAGAATTTGATTTTGCCTCAAGCTGAATTTGCATACAATAATTCTGTTAATCGCTCAACTGATAAAACTCCATTTGAAATCATTTATGGCTAGCCTATATCTCACATTTTAGATAGAAATTGTTTGTCTTTGCCAAATAAAATTAATGCTGAAGCTTCTGAAACTTTTGAACATATCAAAATTGTCCAACAGCAAGTCCTTGAAAAACTCCGAATGGCTAATGTTAAATACAAATCTGCTGCTGACAAACATCGGAGAGAAGTTTATTTCAAAGAGGAAGATTTAGTTATGACTTACTTTCGTCGCCAAAGTTTTCCTAAAATTCCGAGGATCATGTGGAAGTTGAAACTTTGCCACTCTCCACTTCAGTTTTAAATAATGATGAGCAGGTTGAAGATGTTATTGATGTCAAAGTTACTAAAACTAGGCATGGCAAGCACATGAGGTTTTTGACAAAATGGAAGAATCGTCCTTTAACAGACTTTACATGGATGGATGCCAATGAGTTGAAGAAACGTCATTCGGATCTTTATAAAAAGATCTTATAATTGATTGGTTTCACTTCTTGCAAGACCCTCGCATGGTGAAATTTAGTGGATCTTAAATAAATTTGGAATTGGTACCACCAACTAATAAGTAGTGATGCATTCATGTTTTTTAGTCTATTTTGTTTTGATGTATTTTGAACAATATTAGTTGTGTTTTATGCTTTTTTTTTGAGCTATCCAATGATGGAGAACATCCAATGATCATGGTAGGATGTGCTTGGGCATGGCAAGGCTTGGGTTTGCTTGCATTTGGGTCCTTGTTGTCCTTTAGGTTGTTTGCTACATTTCAGTTTGGGCCTTAGCTGCTCTCGGGTTGGGCTTTGGCTGCTTGGTTTTGAGCTTAAAAGTTGGGTTCTACTTGGTGCTAGCTCATTAATGCTTGAGCTAAAGTTTAGCTCATTATTTGGAGGAGTAATTGCACTTCTTAACTCATAAATTCATAAAAGTATGTGGAGTGGATCTGGTCTCTTCCCCTTCTTGTGGCTCTTTTGTTTCTTCTTTGAGAATAAAAGCTATGGCTGGTTATCTTTTGAGATTTCTCCTTGGCTGCTTTCCCGCGAATCCTCTGCCTCGTTTCCTATGTTAGCTCCTCGGGTCCCTCTCTGGCTGCTTTCCCGTGGCTTGCTAGCTAGGTTTCCCGTGACTTTTCTTCATGTTTTATGTGTAGAATTTGGGGGCTGTTGTGGTATCTTTTGGTGTTTCATTTCCCCAAACCTGATTGGTTTTGGTTGGAGGTGTTATGGCTGTTTGGCTTCATTCTTTTGCTTATAAATTGGAGATGTTTTGAGAAGAAAAAGGTTGTTGAATATTTGAGCAAAGTCTCTACTAAAAACTTGAGGGTTTCTTCTCTTGGAAAAGCTTGAGAGCTTGTTCCACCCCCTTTCCTCCTCTCTATTTCGTCTTGGCTTTGAACCTCTTCTTCTCTATGCAAGTTCCACTCCACCTGTATCTTTCTTCTAGAGCATTTGGAAGTTGTTTGTTGACTGATTTTAGAGACATTTGCCTGAAGAGTTTGGTAGGACGTTGGACCCTTTTGCAGTGGTGGACCCTCGGTTTGCAAACCTAAGCACTATTTTCATATATTTTCCTACTCTCATTACATGTGAGGAAACTGTTTGACGGTTGTTCTCAGGATAGCATTTTTATGTTATAATTTTGTCTCGTTTGATTTGACTTTTCGTTTATCCGGATGTTTTGTTTGAATGTTTGCAAACTAAAGTTAATCGAGTTTGGTTTTAGTGCCCTTTGTTCTCCAATTTGGCTTTTCTTTCTAACTTGCTTACATCAGTAAGGTACCAAAAAATTTAAAGCCACAAGAAAAAAGAAGAAAAAATACACAAGGAAATAACATTAACGTAGTTCCTTTCAACCAAGCATATATCCATGGGTATGGAGGGAGTATCTGCTCCAATAAAAGTACACAAACCAAAATAATTGCATACAAAATGAAGAAATACTCACAACTGTTCTTAAAACCCTAGTGCACTCACACACGGACAAAGAAGAACCCCACAATTAATCTCAGCACCAAGATAAACCCATGTTAAACATTCTTTTCCTTTCACCGATGAAAAATAAAAAATCATCCAAGAACTTAGTTGTCTAGAGGTAATCCAAGTCAGAAGAGAGATCAAGAATTACTTGGTCAGATACATGTTGTGACAATATATAGTGTAAGCCTCTAAAACATGGCTTAAAAAATCATAAGCAAGCATCTCATACTTATCACCCCTGCATGCCATCAAAGAAAGTTTAGAGATGCACATGCAATCTAAAACACTCTTGCTTTTTAACCTGACTTAATTTCAAAGAGCCTGCAAATCACAAGACAAGACAACAACTCCAAGCCGTCGAATACAAAAGGCGAAATGTGGTTGTGATTCCCCAAATTTGTGTTGAGCCACATTTAAAAAATAAACTGAAATAAATACAAAATTATCTAAAATATTTTTTGTATGCTAAATCATTGAAGGTTCTTTCAAATAAATAAAACCTCAGCTCTATTCACAAATAATGGACCTAACAAGTATGAGAATTTTTCTAAATATGCAAGCATAAATAAAATCAAGTTCAAAGACAAGCCATGGAAGCACAAATAACACAAGGTTGAAATTTTCTGAAATTGCAAGGATGGAAGATTAGCAAAAAAAGCTTTGGAGTTCTAGGAAAGGAGTTAGCTGATTAAAAAATTGCCCTCTCAGCAAATGGAAGGTTCGGCACCACATTAATGAGATGACAAAATGGAAAAGGGAGATCAAGTGTGATCAACAAAACTAGCAAGCTGATCACCAATAAGATATAGATAGGTGCACATTCCGACATCACAAAAGCCCACTTAGTTCGTTAGCTCTGAATAAATGAACACAGTAAAGATGACACAAGAAACCAACCACAAGCATCAGAAACTATGGTGGTGATGATGATGACCATAGCTTTTCAACAAGAGAAAAAAATATGAGGAAAGAAGTATGAAAGAAGAACACTAAAATCTTAAAAACTCGCCTACAAGTTGAACAGCTCAAAATAAGCATATTACAAACAAAGTAAAATAAGCAAAATTATTTATAGTTAGTTATAAGGTGCCAGCAACCAGCTATACGGAAATGAAGATAATTAATCTCATATTAGTACTTAGTGAATTTTGGCACACACCTCTTTAACTAGATGGACAATAAAGCAAGCTGTCGGGATCTAATCAGTATTTAAGGGAAAATACATGTATAAGAGGGATTATACCACCAAATGCAGATTTTTTATCTCGTGAAGCTGGCCAGCAGATTTATCAAACATAGATTGCAACTTGTCAACCTATTTCATCAAATACGGTTCAGTTTTCAAAATATTGAACTTAAAGGTACATGATATGACCAAATCATGTGGCATTCTATCAGGAAGCATTACCTCCCGTTGCAATATTGCAGATAAAGACTGCACTTGAGCTCGCAAGCAATGAATTTCAGAAGAAGAATCTTTTAATTTTTCCAACTCACTTTGCATGGCTACCATCTCCTTAGGAAGTGAAGATACATGTTCTTTGAAACCTGCAATGATCTCTTTCCTACCTGAACAAAAAAAAAAAAAAAAAAAAACAGAATGCAGCAGCTAAGAAAAATCCCAAGTAGAAAATAAATTACAGGAGATTTGGAAGAAGAAAAAAAAAATGAAACACAAAAATACTAATATGTACCGAGTTCTCTCAAAGTTTCTTCAACCTTGGTCTCCATTGCAATCCGATCCTGAATAAACTTTGGCAATTCTTCTTCTAGTTCAGCAATTCGAGATTTTGAAAATTCACAAATCTTCCCAGAAATAACAGCTACATTAGCTTCCATGTTCACTTCCTTTTCATGCCAAAGGAAGTTGTCCTTTTCAACCTATCAAACGTGATTGGAAGCAAACCTTAACACAATAAGAGATAATTTACTAAAATGAGATAAACAAGCAGGCTACATACATCTACCGACCAGTTACAACCTGTAGTTTCTTCAAGGAAATTCGAAACTGATTCATTTCCATTTTTGATTTATCCAGTTGTTCTTTTAGCATTAGAAATACTCCGGAAGAAGAGACGCTGTTGATATCCACCAAAACATTCTGACAGTCCATTTTCCCAAAGCGTCATCAATTATTTGAATAATATATTGAACAAGCTCAAAAAACACATGTATGAATTGAACACGCAAGCCAATGCCCATTTATGCAAAGGCATTTCCATGGTTTTTAATACATACGCACATGAACAGTCGAAAGATGGAATTTTAAAAGTAAACAAACCTGTAAGTTCACCAGCTTCTTTAAATTTTCTATTCTTATTTCCTGCAGATTACCAATTTCCTCCATCCTACTTGTAACTAAAACCTGCAAAGGAGCTCAAATTGAATCAGGCTAAAAGGTAAAGTATAATATGATATACATCACAAAATGCATTACCTGAATCTCCTTAAGGAAAGCCTCCATGTCTTGTATTTCCTTTTCATTTTTAGCCACATCTATAGCAGATTGCTTATTTCCTAATTTTGAATAAAAAATTGGTGCAACATTTGATCCATCACTTTGTGCCTTGACAGAAGCCAATTTGGAGTTACTTTCTTCCAATTCTGACATAGCAGTTGCCAATTCACCTACAAAATTTCCCAGTATAATTGTTTATGCTAGCTAAAAACATATGTATTCACATCAGTTATCGTAAACAAGTATGATATAACACCAGCTATACATGGGTAGTAGATTTGATGATGCATCAGTATCTATCAGATAGATACCTGCTAAGCACTTTTGATCTGCTTTAAAAACAGCATCCATGTCTCTAAGATTATAAGTGCTATTTGTTAACAGTCTAAGCTTCAAATGCAGGTCATTTACTCCCAATACAAGGCTCCTAACTTCCATCCTGTGATCATTAACAGATTTCCGTAGTTGCGCTCCTATATCATTTAGGGAAACAAAACAAACAAAAAAGAAATTTAAAGAAAATAAATATAAGAACTATTTCATATTTTAAAGAAAATAAATATGAGAAATATTTCATATATTAAAGATATCAGACAACGATTAAAAAAAAATCGAAAGTCATACCAGCTTCAGAGCAAGTAGCTTGAAGCGAAGAAGCAGCATCCTCCCTTACATGCCACGTCCAATTAATAGAAGATACTATGTTCTGTAAAATGTTTTTGGTTGTTTCACTTGTTAGTTGTGTATGAGACTCCATTTGACCAGCAGAATCACTATAAGAGCAGCATTCTGTTGCGCCAGTTTCGAATAGTTTGCTCAAAAAATCATCCTGAATGGGGATGAATGCTCCATCTGAAGTTAAAATATGCAAAGTTGAAATAGTGGAAGGAAACTTTAGAAGTTAATTTCAACATCAAGCTGAGTAATAAATCTAGCATAACAGAATATTGAGATGGACTGCCAATAAATGCAGAACCAAATATAATACACATGCCCGGATTAATGGATCAAAGCACAAAAAGCTTGCATACAAATTAAGCTACCAGATCTTTGGCAAGGAGATGCGAAACTTGCTAAGAAATATTTTGCAGAAACAGTTCACGAATGAGAGACAATGGTAAGCAATACTATTAGATGTTAATAGTACGGTGAATCTATAAAACGATAAGCACCAAGTAAATTGGGGTCATACGACTCATACCCTTCAGCTTTTGGGAACCTTGTAAATCACGTCGGGTATTTGCAGATTCATTGGTGCTAATAGAGCATGATTCCAAATCAGTAACTAGCTGTTGAAACATAAGAAACCTCCTTAATTAGACGTACATTACAATAGGGCAGACAGGTTAGTAAAGTGCTCAATTACCTGCTCCCAGGAATTATTAACAACTGCTACTATGCGCTCATAAGTCTCTTGATGTTTTTTAAGATTGTTGCACTTATCCTCACAAAGAATGTACTCAACCTTCAGAGCTTCCAGTTCTTGAAAAAGCTTTTGATTTTGATATTGAAGAACCGCAACATCAAGCTACAGGAAAAGTTACCAGGAAGAAGCTAGAACAAATTATATGTCGAAAACAGAATCATATGTCCCTCTCACACAATCTAGAAATAAAGGGAAATAATCATTTAGTTCATCTGAAACTTCCAATAACATACTTGAGGATATCTCATCACTGCTTAACAAGTTGTTCAAGAGAGGCAGAAAAGTTAACATGGACACAATAGAATACAAGACTGCACATGAAGCCAGAGTCAAGCAAACCTCCAAAAACACAGCTAATTTTATATGACGCAGATGTTCCTTCAACATAGATGATAGGAAAAATAAAAACAATGAAAATGAATACAATATAGAATAAATGTGCCGTATTTAAAATATTTTAGAGATACTCTATGATGCACAGACATAGTCACGACGACATGGATACGACACGACACGGACACGGGATACGTTAGTTATTGAAAATATAGGACACGGACACGGGTTAGACACGGTATTATAGTTTTTATATTTAAAAAATAGTGTATAAAAATTAAATAAGTATAATTTTAAAAATAATTTGAAAATAATAAGTCATTTAGCTAGAATTTGTGCTTAAAATGATTAGTATTAGGATGTCGAGAGTGAGGCGTCGATGTCGTTTATCAGTCAATGAGAGAGGAGATGAAAATACCTTCACTGTCAAAAAGAAATGAAAATGAGAATATTCGATAATTGGGTATTAAGTGCGGACATTGATTTGGTGCTGTGGATATGAAATAAGAAATTTAGTTTAAATGCCATGTCCAAATACAATAAATTATATTTAAAAAAATTTATAAAATATTTAAGATACACACGTGTCCAATTTTTATTTAATATTTTTTAATCGGACACATTCTCGGCGTGTCCGATACGTGTTAGAGAAGTATCGGACGACTGTCATGTCGGATTAGGTGTTGGACACTGCACGCCTCTTTGAGGAGAAGTGTCGGTGCATCATGGAAGATACTTGATTGCATTTAAAACAAATGCAATAAATAATTTTCTAGTAATTGGATTTAAAAAAAAAAAGAATTTGACGTAAAACCCAATGACAATGGTTAGCAAAGCTGCGGTGGGGAATCAAGTGGCGGCAACCAATGGTGGTAGCACGGCGGCATCAACTGCTGGCGGCAAGGGCGACCGACATTGACGATGGTTGTCAATGGTGGAAAGTGGCGAGAACTCGTAGTTGGCAACGGTGGTAATGGGTAGCACACAAAAGCGATGGGAGATTTTTTGTCATCCTCAACGGGGATATTGTGTGATCGAGTAAGGCATTGGAAAATAATATATTCTCCCAAAGTGGGAGAATGGTCCAAGAGAGGAAGAGAGTGCAAAAGTGGGACTAAGGAAGAAAAAGCAAGAGAGACAGAGAGAGAAAGAAAGCAAGGGGTCAGTCGAACAAGGTAGACCGAACTACCACGGTGTTGACCTGACTGCCGTGGAACAAAAAAAAATTTCCATACCTGCTTTGGCGTCCAACATCGCACATCGCTCGCACGCCGACGTAGCTTCTTCGCACGTCGCCTGCACGATCTCACTCTCCTGTCGATAAAAAGTTGAAGAAGAGAGGCCTCTGATCTCTCTAGTTCCCGCTGGCTCTCTCTCGCGCTCTCTCTCCCCTTCGCGTTGCTTCCCCGGCTCCTTAGTCGCTGTTCGACTAGGCTCCCTCGACGACTTTCCCTCTGTGAGATCGGAAGTTACGACAACCTGATCGGAAGCAGGAACGGGAGTTCGCTCGCGGTGAAGGAAATTTTCTCCCCCTCGAGTGCTTCGCCGGCCGATGGGGAGAAAATTTCCTTCGACGGCATTCCTTCCTGTGGAATCGGAAGCAGCGACACTTTGCTCGGACGCAACAGGAGCTCGCTCGCGTGAAGGTTTTCTCCCTACCGAGCGCTTCTCCAGCCTTTCATTGATGTTCGACTTTGCTCTCTGGACGACGTCCCCTTCTTGTCGAATCTGGAGTAACAACATTTTGATCAAAAGTAAAACGGGAGCTCGTGGTTGTGAAGGCAGCCTTCTCCTTTCACGTGCTTTTTCAGCCAAACCCTGTTACCAAACAGCCTTTATGATGTTTTAATTTATTATTATTAATATTATTAAATTTTTAATAATAATAATTATTATTATTATTAATAAGAAATTTGCAATGATAGAGTTGGTATTTAATATTACAACAAAATCTAGCCCTTTCTTTCCTTTGAGTAGGATTTCTTAGTCTATACCCATGTGCTAATCCCAATTTAGAAAAGATAATGTATGATCCTTAATCGAGAGTTTTCTCGGGCTCCGGCGTGGGATGTAATTAACCACGGGGGCTTGCGCCCGTGGGAAACTTGGTTCCCACAATCTACTAAACCCCATTCGAACTTTTTCGGGTGGGGGAAACCCGTGACTAGGTCGTGTATATTGCTACCCATCGGGGATGTGTTGGCGACAGCCTCTATTCCCAATGGTCAGTCTTATGCGCGATCCAATCTGCCCTCCCATCGACCTGTTCGTGTCGAGTGTAGAGGTCTGCGATCGTTTTGTCCCACAGGGATAGTGCGGCCGTACCCTCTGCGTTCGTACCCCACGAGCGGTGCTCCTTCGGAGGTCCACAACAGGGATATGTCGGGATGCTGCCGAAATTTTCACTGAAGCAAACAAGACTTGAACAATATGAAGACATCATTTGAGCAGCAATACAAAGGACCCGTACTTGAACTGAAAGCATAGAACTTGAACTAAATGTGCAGAATACTTGTATGAACAACAGGGGACTTGGACTTGAACTAAACTACAAGAAATATAACACAAATCCTAAAATGCACAATAAAGATCAAGATCCAAATGTCAAATAACAACTTAATGCATTCAAATAAATACATGCAAGCAAGCAGGAGATTTGTTAGTGCACTATGATCCACCTGTAGAAAGCAACAAATAGTGCACGACAATCTACCTGTACAAAATAGTAAATAATTCAATTCAGAAGCTGCTACGCCACACCACCGAAGCCATAACACTCATACAAGTGGACAGAATGCGTGTTCAAATTCTCAAATGAAATATTACGTGCATTTAAATGGCAGCCGCTTGCATAATTACAAATATTTCAAATTACCCCTGCACGTGCACTGTAGTTTGTATACACATAGGTACAATAAAGGAGTAACTACAATCATAACACCCGCATGGGCTCTGGTGAACGTGTTATAAGTATACACGTGACGTCTAGGGATGTTACGCGGGTCAATAAATGAATTCAAGTTCGAACCCGATCCTCCTATGTGGATTAATAGAAGTCGACATGGTTCGAACCATCAAATAAATATACAGTTGTGGCGACCGGTGTATTTATTTTAATACATTCATATTAGGCCTTCAAAGCCTATAATCAAGAGAATTCACTAATAAAGGCATAAAGCCTACGAAACCCGATCCTCCTAAGCAAGTAAATAAGAGTAGACAGGGTTCGAATCAACGGATAAATATGTGGTCATGAAGTTGACCAAATTATTTATTTTATACATTCATATTAGACCTTCAAAGCCTTTAACAAAGAAAATTCATAAACAGAAGGCATAAAGCCTACGAAACACGATCCTCTATTGACAGATAAACAAAGTTAACAAGGTTCATCCACAAAATAGAAATATTTTCAAATGGAAATGACCCCATATTCACACCCCGATAATGGCTGTGTTGAATGTGAATCTCAACCAGAGAGATTAATCTCGGATATTTCAAAATGCCCTAAAACTTCTACAAAATCCAAATTCCACATAATATCCAAAAATTATCAAGCTCTAAGATATTTAAATTTGAAACCAATCATCAAAACACTCAAGGCAAAATTCATCCACCCTCCGCAACAGTTTGTCGAGGTGGACAAATTAAAATTTACTTCAGCTCACATGGAGCTAATGCCTAGTCGAAAATATCACTAGGATCCATTCTCAAATAATCTTCTACCAATAAGGACGTGGTACGTGTCCTCTAACCGGCAATTTTGCCACCAAATGGCACCGTAGGATAAGCGTTATGACCCGGGGGCCTCTGAACCGAGTGATTTTGCTGCCAAATGACACTACAAAATACCAGTTAAGGCTAGAGCCAATATGTTCCTTAGTGGCATCAAATCTTTGATATATTAATCAATAGGATATTATCGATAGGGCACAAAGCCCTCTGTTAGCTAAGGTGGATTCAAATTAATCCCCTTATACAAACACCCACCCAGGTCTACAAAGGTCCCCTTGGACGAAGCAACCCATGACTGTCAACAAGGATCCTTCTATCAGGTTGGGTCGACTACCTCCTCTGACTAAGTAGACCAGGAACCACGACGGCCTGGGACGACGGAACCATGGGATCTTGATCGGGTCCATCATCCATTCCCCCACCATCTGCTTTAAGTGCAAGATAGTAAAATTTTCTATTTTAAATATCAAACTTTTCAAATTGCCAACTTCAAACCCAATTCCCAAATCCTAAACCCATGTTGCTACTATATGTCAGATTCTATGTATATTCTACATATTTGATTGACGACTATCCTTAATCGAAAGTTCTCTCTTGTTATCGGGAGAGGTAATTAACTATAGGGGCTTGCACCTATAGGAAACTAAAACTTAGATCACAAAGTCCTCGCAAAATGAGGGCGAAATCTCTGGGTAGTGTTTTATCTACAAACACATCTGTCTTCAAAAATTTACCCCTGAACTTATTCCGTTAAAACTCCTTGAAGAAGAAAAAGCAAGCATACAGTGAGCGGAGGCCGGGGATGAATTTTCGGAGCCCACACATGCAAGTAAAGCAACACTCGAGACTTATGGACAACCATGCTCAAAGGCTGGAATTGCATTAGGATTAGACCCAAGAAGGCTAACACCAAGAAAGATCAATTTTGGGAAGGAGGAAGAAACTTTTACAAGTTTCATTTTCTCTTCTTATATTGAAAATAAAGATCATGCTTCCCAATGTTATATTTTAGGTAAAATCGGGCATCCTAACCAAGATTTTTTTTATGTTTATATCAATGCATGCAACTTGTGAAGAACTAGTTAGGGTACTCAACTTGAATGCAATCTTGGGTTAAACTTTGAGACTTGTTAGCTAATTTATGACCACAAATAATAAAAGGGTAGATTTTCTTATTGTTGGCTCAAGAAAAATGACACGAGTGAATGAATCCCGCTTTGCAATTGTTGGATTCCATTTTCCTTAAGTCAGATTGTAATTAACCAGATTTTTCCTAAGGATAGTGTCAGGGTCTAAACATATGGGGTCTTTACTTCCCATGAGCGCAAGCACTCATAGTTAAATACACCTCTTACTACGTAAGAGATAACTCTTAATTAAGGATGAATAAATTTTAAATATTTTTAGTCTCAATAGTGTGGAAAATGAAGGTAAACCCGATTAAGATCCTATGGTTCCGTTGTCCCATGTGTACCATAGTTTTCAATCTACCAACACTAACAATCATTGACTATAGTGTCCAGGGAGTCTGATTAGCAGTCATGGGTTGCCTCTTCTCAGAGATCCCGAGTAGACTGAAGTGGTTAGAAGTGGGTTTTAGTTTTAATTTTATTAGGTGTTTTGGGATTTACATTTATTAGAATACCCGGAAATTAATTTAGTTCGAGATTTATGACTTTGTTTAGAAGTAACCTAGGAGTTTGGATTGGAGCAGGTCTTATGGCTTCTTTAGGAAGTAGCCCAGGTATTTAGATTTAGGTTGGGATTTACGGTTTTCGTAGAAAGTAACCCGAATATTTAATTTAGAGTGGGGCTTACTGCTCTATTTATGATTTGCTCAAAGATGAGTCTTACAACCTAACTCTACAGCAAGGCTGCCCGAGATTTTTTTTTGGATTTGGGGTAGGTCTTATTATTTCCCTTAAGAGGTTGCTTGAAAATGGGTCTTACAACTTAATCATTTATACTAAGATGCTCATAAATTTGTGTGTTTTATAGAAAATCTTACGATAGAAATTCCATATGCTTTCAACATGGGATTAGTACCATAATTACTGTATTTCAAAGCATTATTTAAAGATGAAATTCTCTCTTAAGACTTTCACCTTGATTTTTTAACAAGGGATATCCGTGTGATTAGATTCAAAGTAGGGACTTATGGCTTTCATTAGAAAGTAGCCTAGTTAGTGGGACTTACAGCCTCTACTAAGGGTAGCCCGAAGATTTTAGTTGGGTAGGACTTATTGTTTCCTTAGAAGTTATCTAATGCTGGGTCTTACGACTTAGCCCGGTAAGCTAAGTAGCCAGAGTTGTGGATCTTACAACCAAGCCCTATATACTAGGCTGCCCAGGTGAGGGGTCTAGGATTATGTTATTACCTAAATATTTTTCTCAAATGTCAGACTTACGCCTTCTATTAGAAGTGATCGATGAGTAGTGGGTCTTACGACCAAATTCTTATAAATAAGGTTGCCCGGTAGTTGAATTTTATTGTGTTGAGAGGATGTCAGTTGTGAGTTAGTTTAAATTTGTGATTTTGTTTAAGTTGTTTTGTGCTTGTAGCATTTTTTTACTGCAGTAGTCCACTACTCTCTTTATTTTTTGGCACTTTTACTTTACTAGTTTTTAAGTACTTAGCTTTTCTTGCTTTCCAGTGCTTTTGTCTTACTAGTAACTAGATTTACTATTTTTCAGTATTGATTTCCATTTATAATTGTGATGGCTTTTATCTACTTGTTTGCAGGAACGCGATACTTGCAACAGTTCAGAGAGCTCACAGATAGTTGCAAGAACTTGTACAGGAGAGACTCTGTAGAACTTGCAGAGTGTTTTTAGTTCTGTGTGGGGAGTTTCATGAGTTGTTGGGTTGTATTGGAGAGTTTGACAACTTTTGTTTGAGTTGAAAGTTGTTTAAATTGTGTTGTTTGAAAAGAGTTTGAGAGCTGTGTTATTTGAGTAGAATTATTATTGGAGAGTTTGTAATTTGGAAAGGTTGTACATACATTGGATTAGTGAAAATGTTGATTTCTTATAGCCTATTTATGAAGATTAAATTACAAAGACATTTTTATCATAAAATGCGAGTTTGTTTTTCCAACAATTTTGATATATATATATATATATATATTTGCATACAACTTCAAGCTCTTAAGCAAGTATTCATTCCTAGGAAATCTATTTTCAAACCATTTTTACTTTCGACATGCAAGAAAGTTTCAGAGATCCGAGGAAGAGAATTTGCCCAAAAATGTGGAAGAGTTTTTCCCTTCATGCAATATCGATCAGGTTGACATTATTCATCCATATTGCAGGACTTGCACCTATGTAATACTATAGGCTCAGTTTCTTTAAACAGTTTTGTAACTGAAGATTGTCGAACACCTTCTCACATAAATTTATGTTCCTTGAATAAGTACAACTCCAATATAGGGTCAAACCTGTCAATCCCTTATTGTCATGTAATTTGATACAACAAGCTTCTATTACAAGCCTCAGTTAATCAGTTATGCAATCAATTATTGCATTAGTTGTAAATTTTTAATTTGGTTAACTAAATTGAATCGGATTGCATTATATTAAAATTTAAGATTTAACTGATTATTCATTTAGATTAATTAATCAGTACAATTCGATGTTAAGGCTCCAAATTAAGCTAAACATTTGATTTTTATTTATTTCAAATGGTCGTTTAATTAATTATTAAGTCAATTAATTGCCTACTCGACATTCCAGTTCGTCAATTAATTAAATCAGTAAATTAAAAGTTCTCCCATTTTAAATTCTTTCTTAGAGATCCGTGTCTTCCAAAATACGTTGTCCAAAATTTTCAAAAAAAATTTGGAAGGCTCCCGGCATTCCCTCCCCATCAAGGGAGAAATCAGGACGGCATTTGCTGAAATTTCTTCCTATTCGGACCTAAGGTCAACGACGTATGGTCTTCGAATTAAAATCATCCCACCATGATCTAAAATCGACTGTGTGATGTTTTCGAATTAAAGTCATCCCACCATGATCTAAAATCGAACATCGAGTTTTTTTTCATCCTGCCCAGATCTAAGATCAATAGCACGAAGCCTTCAAATTTAAAACCATCCGCCTTGATCTAAGATCACAGCGTTGGTCTTCGAATTGTGCATTCGTGTCCGGGCCTAAAATCGACGGCGCGGGTCTTCAACACCTGTTTGAATGTTCTTTTCTATCTTTTTTTATTATATTAGATATATATAATATTATATAAATAATAATAACATGGTATTGATATATCATGATATATTTATATATAATATTATATATTATAATATAAGAGAAAGATAGAAAGGGTTTGAATCGGGTCTGCTCGGGCACTTGGGTCTGATCGGAGAAGGAGCACAGTCGAATAGTAACAAAGGAACTGAAGAAGCCACTAGTGTAATCTCCATACCTCCTGCGATGGAGCCGAACAGCAACTAAGGGGCGAAAGAAGCAACGCATGCAATTTCTACTCCTTCCGCAAAGTAAGGGATTCGGACTGCAACAAAGGAGCGGAAGAAGCTACTCGTTTGATCTCTCCCCTCCTATGAAGCAACGACGTCGGGCAGCAATGAAGGAGCGGAAGAAGCATCCCGTGCAATCTCTACACCTACGAAGCAATGAAGTCAGACAACCACGAAGGAGCCGCAGAAGCAACGCGTGCGATCTCTGCACCCCTTGCGAAGGAACGAAGACAAACAGTGACGGGGAGCCGAAGAAGCGTAGTCGAACGGCAACGAAGGGGTCGGAGGAAGCGACTCGTGTGATCTATCCCCTCTAGCGAAGCAACGAAGCCGAACAATGACGAGGAAGAGAGAAGATGAAAGGCGACCCTAGACGCCTTCTGCGAAATAAGGAAGTCGAACAGCAACATCGGAGTCGAAGGAGCGAAGTGAGCGATCTGTATGTTTTTCCCTTCGATTGCTTCTACCGATCCTTTTAAAAGCATGAGTGTGTGATTATCTTAGGGCATCTCCAACCCAAACGAGCGTTTGGCGTCATTCCTTCGCTCCAGCCGAACGCCAAAAAATCCTCCATTTGCTTGCGGTTCAACATTTCGGTTCAGGTTGAACCGAAATGTAGAGAAACGTTTTTTTTAGGGATGTTACATCATAGATTGAACCGAAATGTTCAGGTTTTGTATATTTCTGGTTCAATCTATAATGTAACATTTCGTTAGAATTTAAAGTATTCAAATATAGTGAAAAAATTCATTCAATCTTATTCTCTTTGGAGACCTTCACGCAAGCATAATAGTGAACCTAAATTCTCTACTACGACAATTCATCATCCCACTGCGTGAGGTCGGATAAATGAATCATTTTCTCTATCACGTCCTATATATTAAGAGTCAAATTTTTCTTAAATCTAATAAAAAAGAGCCATTTTTAATCAATCTGTTTAGGTTTACAAGTGAACCTAAATTATCTACTAAAAAAAAAACCTGAAAAAGTTTGAGTGCTGAAGAACAGTTTTAATGTAAAAGTGATTTGATCTTAAGATCAAACTTCACAATAATTCACAAGCTCTTTATCCACTAAGTCAGCTGACATCCCTAAAAAAAACACTTAAGGACAGAGCACCCAAATCGACCAACTTAATCCAGCATCTACATACTAGAACTGAGTTTCTTAGTAAAAATATTAGGTGATAACACTACTAAGTAAATCATTAGTTAGCCAGTTGCAAAACCAAATCAATAATAAAATTGAACTCTTGAACAAAAACAAGCCACCGCGCAAGCCTGCTGAACTCAAAGAGGGAAACGAAAATCATCGACAATAACTAAAATGTAAGCTCGTGAGAGGGGAAGACGCCATACATTCAAGACCCCAATGGTCCGGCTGATCCTCACACGAGAGGAGTCCATCATCGGTCCAATGCAACCAAGTATCCGTTGAAGCTGAAGCGCCATCTCCATTTCCACTTATTGATGAGCTGAATCGAAGCACCAAAACTCGTTTCTCTGTGATAAGGTTCTGCCACGGCAAGCAGAGATTACAGACAAAAGAAGTTGAGCGATGGTGATTTGAAGGGCTTGCCGTTTGAGTCCGGAGGAAAACAGTTCCACGAGAGCGATGGTAAAGCATCTAAGTTCATTAAAACTGGATGCGGTGAATGGAGGCGGCGAAACAGGGATTCGCCTCTTCTGGTCGTGTGAATCAGGTGAGCTGTGAGAGGCGGCTTCGAGTTCTAGAGAGGGAGAGAGCAACTGTTGGGAATTTCGGACTAGAGAGCCGGGAGAGAGAGGGAAGAACGAAGAAGAAGAGGGAACTTGGACGCTGAGCACCATCGCTCGTGCTGGTAATCCCGCGAGAGAATTTCTAACCCGCTCATATTGAGCGGGTTTAGAAGTCGCGGGATTGGCCTCTCCTAATACACGCCTAATACTTCGAACTACTTCCTTTTGTTCCGCTAAAAAACAACCAAACACTCTAATTTAAGTAATGCATGTAATTACATTACTTTACCCTGTTAATCCTGCATACCAAACAGCCCCTTAGTTTGAATGAAGGGTCCTTGCGTTTGGAAGCAGACTGCTCGAGGTGGGACCCACTCGAAGGCAGGTATATTCGGAATTTCTCTGTTCTATATATATAGTCAACACTTATGGGCATTTTATGGTCTTTTATTGTAATCAATTCAAATCAAGGTTTATTGAATTTAAGTTAGATTGTTAAATGCTAATTATTTTAAGAAGAAGAAGTATAATGGATGCATGAGTAGATTATTCTTCCTATCATGTTTTCTAATCAAGAAAAAATCCTAGATTTTCTCTTATGATTAATTATTAAAAAAATTCATTACAACTAGAAAGTTTAATATAAGAGAGAGGTTCTAAAGATAACTATATAGGAAGTTTTAAGAAATAGTTTGGAGTTTTCTACAACTCAACGGTAGTTGTGTTCATGAATAATAATATTCTATACAAATTAATAGCATTCATATTAGATTCCTTAAGTAATTAATCATTTAAAAAATAAGTTCAATAATTGTGGGTTGAGATTATATGGTTTTGTCATCAGATGTCAGGTTGTTAATTCAAGGTAATAAGGGCTTATTTTATTGGGTTTATGTTTAAGAAAATAAAATATAAGTAATCTAATTGTAACTAATCAACATAAAGTCTAGAATTCATAAAAGGATTACAAGGATTATGATAAGAAGTGCTTGTAAAAATTTAGGAAAAGTTTTGGCTGAAATCTGATATAGCCGAATTTGCATAGTCTAGAAGGACTTGGTCGAAATTTTATACACAAATTTATAAAATTATTTTCGTTGAAATTCGACGACTTTGAAAATCCACTTAAATTTTGTCGTAGCACATCGAAATGCATGCAATGCTTACGATCGATATTTTTCTAGCTTTACAATTTATCAGAGCAAATCAGTATAAGGAACTTATAATGAATTTCACATATATTTGAAATTAAAAATCGACGAAGTTATGATTGGAATAACAAATTACTTAAGAACCCTTAAAGATATTAAAGCAAGGTTAAGGCATGAAAGGGAAAAAAAAGGTATTTGGACTTCTCCCTAACCGTCCAAACCCTTTAAGGGACCGAAAGTATTCGGTCCCTCCATTCGCTTGTTCGGCCGAAACACAAAGAAAGAGAGGGAATCGGATGGGCAAGGCTTCGGCGGCGGTTTCCGGCAGCGGTTCTTGGAGAGAATCGAAGGGAAAGCTTTGGGAAAGAAGAATGTGAGTTTCTAATTGAAAAACTACTTGTTTTCCTTAGATTTTTGTATGAGGAAAAATCTAGGTTTTCTAAAATCTAGAATTTTGCAATAAAATTAATAGGGAATGTTAGGGAAGATATTTTAACCGCAAAAATGAAGTTTTTCCCAAATTTTTTTTAGATTGGAAAATTAGGGCTTTTCATGTTTTAGGATTTCAAGAAAAATCCCATAACAATTTATCCATGATGCACAGACACGGACACGGCGACATAGATACGACACGACACGGACACAGGACACGTCAATTATTGAAAATATAGGACACGTACACGGGTTGGATATGGTATTATAGTTTTTTATATTTTAAAATTAGTATAAAAAAAGTAAATAAGTATAATTTTTAAAATAATTTAGAAATAATAAGTCATATAACTAGAATTTGTGCTTAAAATGATTAGTATTATGATTTCGATAGTCAAGCCTCGATGACATTTATCAGTCACCGAGATAGGAGATGAAAATACCATCATTACCAAAGAGAAATGAAAATGAGAATATTCGATGAATGGGTATTAAATGTACGTTGATTTGGTGTTATGGATAGGAAATAAGAAATTTTGTTTAATTAATCCCTCCAAACACAAGAAATTATATTTTAAAAAAATCATAAAATATTTAAAATACGCGTGTCGGACACGTGTGTCCAATTTGTAGTTAATATTTTTTTAATCGGAGACATTTTCGGCGTGTCCGACAAGTGTCGAAGGAGTGTCGAATGAGTGTCATGTTGGATACGTGTCGGTCACTGCACACCTCTTTGAGGAGAAGTGTCAGTGCATCATAGCAATTTATGTTCCAAATTATTTTGGTAACATTTTTAATGAATGAAAGTTAGTATTTTCATAAAACTTTAAACATTATAATTTTTAATTAAAATAATCCTAAAATAATTTAATCTAATTACTTATTAAGTTTAAGCGAAACTTTGGCATTATTATAAGATGGGAGAAATGAAATTTATGTTTCCAAAAATTTGGGTTTTAAATAAATCCAAAATTAAGTTAACCTAATTATTAATTAGGTTTATAGGAAAGTTTGGCATGGTTATTTGATAAAATTAAGGAAATTGTGATTTCCAAAAATTTGGGTTAATGAAAAATCCGAAAATTTAATTAATAATCATGAAATATTAAGATGACTACTAGAAAATTAAAATCCTTTATTATAAATGAATTAAGTTTATGTTGGGTTTTTCATAGATTTTGGAAGTGGAAGAGGTGGAAGTCGAAGAGGAAAAAGCATCAAAGAGTTAAACTAATATTCTCATACGTCCGATATTTTCTTAAGATAAGTACTTATATTTAGATTAAATTAATGTTCCTAAACTTTCATTTATATGAAATAATGCATATGTTAAATTATTGAATTTTCTTATTCATTCAACCATCACATGTTAGAATTATATTCATGTTATTGTTCAAGAAAGGTTAATTATGTATTTATACTTATTGTTACACTAATGTTAAATTTATAACCCAATGATTTTTAATGTAAGATTAAGTATGGTGTTATGCCTTTTAAATAAAGTTTAGGTAGACATGAGATTGAGCATGAAACATTATTAGAAAAACATTTAAGCATGAAACAATTTAGACAAACATATATGAATTTCTAAATGATTAAATTTCTATGGTAAGCATTATGATTGAATATGCATAATAATCCAGAATACCAACTGGTAAAGGGCTCCTCTGAGCAAAATGATAAAGGGCTCCTCGGAGTAAATGAAATAAAATGTTTGGCTAACTTTGATTATGTACCTGATCAGTATAAAATATTGATACTTTCGGGACAAGTGTATAAATATATGATTAATTGTTTTATTCTTTTATGCATATAAGAATATAAAGGAAAAGTTATGAATTAAGGAAAAGTTATGAAGAATAAAAAAGTTAAGAAAAGTTAAAGAAAAATAAGCATGTAAAAAGTTATAAAATATATGCATACCCAAATGTCAAGTAGGATTATTATTTTATTTGTAATTCTTCTGAATTAAATTTCAATGCTACCAAAAAAAAAATTTCATGCATAATGTCCTCTTTCTCTTGCTTCATGAATTTATGTTAAATATTTGTTACTTGCTAAGTATTGACTCGCTCATATTTGTGGGAATGATTTTTAGGAGAATCTATTAAAGATTAATAGTAGAGAGACTGATTACATACTAACGTAGAGCAATTCAATGAAGCAAGTTTTTTATGAATAATTATTGTAATGTGTTAAATGATTAGAGATATGTTATGGACTACTGTAATGTCATGGACTACTATAATGTTTTCATGTTATGTTTTGAGATATTTTATGTTTTGATGTATTAGAGATATTTAAATTAAAGTTAGTGGCTCTTTCCTACGTTGTTGTTGGATGTTTATTTTATTGATGTTATTTATAAAATGAAAATATTAAGTTTTTATAATTACTTTACGACCGTCAGTTCCTGCCCATTTAATTCGGGCTAATTTGGCTGAGTCGTGACATGTCTGTTAACCATTGAAGTAATGCTTAGGATAATGGGATTAGAGATTTCAACAAACGAAGCCAAAATTGTTGCGGGCTAGAATATTTGTAGCCGTAAAATAGAAAAATCATTCATCTTAACATTACACGAGTATCCAACACACAAACAGAGAAAAAAAAAGTACAAAATTTTTTACGTGAAAAACCCTAAAGGGAAAAATTATAGGGTCACACCCAATTGAAATGATTCTGCTAGTGTTTGAATATATTACAAATGATTGATTCATCCTTGAAGTTAAGGACAAACATATTATAATAATCAACTATCATATTAAGCTCGTTGGATTTGTCTAGTGGAGCTGCTCACGATTATAAATATATCACATTTGAAAATTGTTTGATCATCCAATTTATGATTTGAACTTCTAAAATGTGTTTCGAGTCTTCGATTTGGGCCCACTTGGGCTCGGATTGGATTGAATTCAGTGTCATTGGATTCGTCTTTACGAGACGTTCAATTCAACAATAAGTTTGTTAAAATCAAAGTTCGGATGTCCCTAATTTAGTTTTGAAAATTTTCAACTAAAATTTGCATAGAGATTCTTGCCCGATCAAGATAATTTTTTAATGATATATCATTTTTCATCCTCAAAGATATCGAGACAATTTTTTGTTTATTCTTACAAAGCCCTCCTTCAACCTGCCTTCCTCTTATATTTTATATTTATGCTATCAATTCCTTTCCTAAATTCCTCAACACTTTTCATCCTTGAAAGTATCAAGACTACATATTCTCACTTTCTATGAAGCCCTCCACCTATATGACTTCCTCTCTTCTTTTTTATTATTGAGAGTCTTTATGCCTTCTCCTAACATGCTTCTCAATTACATTCACAATTTTTTTCTTTTTTATGCGAGAGGTACAAAGAATGAAATATTAAGAATTATAGGGCGTTATGGATAATAGAAATGAAATATAAGAGTTACATATTTGATATTAAAGTTGTCTATGAAAGATAGTCAATAAATATTAATTTTTTTTAATGTTAGATATATAAATAGCATGCTATAAAATGATATGTATGTAAATCCCCCCTATTTTCATTTGATTTAATATCTTTCCAATTAGTTTTCGAACTAAAATACCACCAAGGCACCAACTATATATATATTTATTCGTTGAAAAACATATTTAAGCTGGTTCTAACCTCTTTCGAACCTGCTAGGAGGCTGGTTGGAACTCTTGGCCGCAACTGGTTCGAAGTTCTTGCTGTTCGTCTTCGGCGCCACATCGAACTTCACCTGCTAACATCAAATGCTGCCGCCAGCAAGAAATTATTCCTCATAGGAAATACTACGCGCCTCAGTGGCCAAAAAGACTAAAAGCAATCTTCTGCCTTACCCAAAGGCTAAAGTATTCCTCGCTCCTTCTGTTTCTCTGCGCAGAGACACCGTATACCCAAATCAGCAAAACAGGAAAATAAAATAAAACAATAGAACGGAATAGGGATGTTGATTCGCAGAGCAAGCAATCTTCAAATATTACAACATGTCGACGCTGTAAAATGCCGGCCTCCAAAGCCTCGCCGAGGAAGCGACGAGAATACGGGAGTGAGTTACGTTCTCCAAAAGCCATGGGACCTTATATGGCGGCCTGATCAACACGTACATGCCTGACTTCGTCCTCTAAGACGTGACTGAGCTGGACGACGAAGAACTCGACGGAAAATCGGAAATATGGGTGACGCGCCGAACGGCCGAAGAAGAGCAGCAAAAAGTTTTTTTTTTTTGGGAGCAGCTGAATTTTGAATGTGGATCGAATCAGTTCGAATTTTATTCCGGTAAAAATACCACTTATCCAAACACAATTATATAAAAAATATTTGAGAGACTAATATTTTATTATGAGGTTCGGTCAAAATAGGGAGAATATAATATAATTATATTTGGATAGTATTTTATTGATTAATCAAATCAAAAATTGATGCGACTTGAATTTAAACATAATTTTTATTAGCATAGCATTTTTCAAAAATGATAGAGTACTTTTGCACTATGTGAGCTTTCTTAAAAGAATTAGGAGAGTACGTTTAATTAAAACAATGCTTCAATTATTGAAATGCATATTTCAAATATATTTTGATATATGGATGATCATGTATGTGATAATTAGATAGTTAACAAGTAACACAAAATTTATTGATCAATCATAACATGAATCATTTAATAAATTATATTAATATTAGGAGCATTTTCTGAAAACGACGTGCTATATGACTTAAATATAATTATGTAATTGAGCTCATATAATGAGATTAAAAAATATGAAGAAAGTCGTCCCAAATGAAATCTTTATCAACATTTGACACAATCAAAATCTCGTAACTTCTAGATCAAACAGTCTTCTCTTAAATATAAACAAAATACATAAAAATCGGATATATTAATTAAAGCTTATTTTATTTATTGTAGCAAAAATAAAAAATATTAAAAAACTACATATACAAAACTTTCAATGATTATAAATTAACATTAAAAAAACATTATATATTATATCCCCGTCACCCAGGCCAAAATCTGTATGCCATCTCCATGACCAATTAATTACCGAGCTAGCCATCCGTTTGCATTGCTTGTCATTCACATAAATTTATCGAGTATAGATTATAATATTGAAAATGGGTCTACCTCATCACATCGATTCCTATATTATTCCATTTATCAAACTTCAGTTTATAGATCGTAAGTTATTCGATCAAAAGCGCAACAAACAAAATTTTATGTTATTTAAAAAATCAGAATATAAATCTGAAAATTTTAGATTAGCTTTTATAGTTTCCGCCAGTTTTATTATGTGCTAAGTTGTGGAGCACATTCTTTACTAATATATTAATTTTTTAAATTAAAAAAAAAAATTAAAAAACTGCTTCATAAAACAAAACAAAAAAAAATTCAAATGAAATCTTAATTTCAAAGAAAACCCTGCCGCACAACCTCCGCAGTCTGTCTCAAACGGCTGTTTGACATTCCTAACTACCTATTTCCCAATGCTCTCTATAAAACTCCTGTATCGTACACTTGAGTGAACATACAATGAATATCAAAATTCCTCTGTCTTCTTCTCTATTCTTTATGTTATTCTAACCCGTGCAAGAACTCTATTATGATATCAAAGTAGTAACGCTGGGACTGCCTTCCTCTCTAAGTCGTTATGGCGGAACAGGACTCCTCTTCTCAATTTAGGACAATGTCCACTCTATCTTCCTCCATGGCCGCTATCACCATTCCGCCATCCCTCAAATTTTTGATGTCAAACCTCAAGCTCATTGTGCACACTCAACTCACAATAGACAACTACGCCATCTGGAGATTACATATCTACAAAGCGTTTGCGGCAAATGGATTCGATGGATACATCACTGGCTCTCTACTTTGTCCCCAAGAACCCTCCGAGTCCAGTTCAATCTCATCCGACTACAAACTCTGGAAACTAGTTGATCAGAACCTCATCTCAGCTATATTTTCTACAATCTCACCTTTAGTGCTCCCTTACATTCTATATCTCAAAACATCTCATGAAACCTGGACAGCCTTAGAGCTTCGACTGCAACCCACCAACCGGTTGAGAGTTATTCAGTTGAAAAATGAGCTCCATAAAGTCCAAATGAGATATCATACGATTTCACAATACCTGGCAAAAATAAAGTCACTGGTAGACAACATCGCGGTTGCGGGAAGTCACATTGACACTGAGGATATCATACTCTACACACTCAATGGACTGCCACCCTCTTACAACCCCTTCGAAGCAGCAATCGGAACATCACATCAAACCATAACTCTCGAATCCCTTTACTCCTTACTCTGTAGTGAGGAGATAAACTTGCAAACTTAGATACAACAGGACATGACCACAGCATCGGAGCATCAAGCACTGTAAACCTCCAGAGGTAGTGGACGCACATCCTCATACAGGGGCAATCGAGGAAGAGGAGCTCCATTTAGTCCGTCCACTACATCCACTTGACCTCCTGCGAACTTGCAAAGAAACACAGGTCGACCCACCTGTCAGAGCTACAGGAAGCCAACCAATATAGCACTGGCCTGATGACACAGGTACAACTCCAATTACACACCGCAGACTTCAACTCCTCATGCTCTTCTCACTCATACTCAACCAAACTCGACTACAGACTGGGTACTCAACTCGGGAGCTTCGACACATCTCACACCGGACAATGCAAACCTGCACCATTCAATTCCATATCAGGGGCAAGACTTTGTCTCTACAGCAAGTGTTTCCTCACTTCACATTCACCACACAAGTGCAGGCCTCCTACCATTACTCGACTCCAATCGTAAGCTCAAACTTCAAAACCTTCTTCATGTGCCTTCCCTTGCTCACAACTTACTTTCTATTTCAAAACTCACCACTGACAATGACTGCTCCATCACCTTTGATTCCAATAGTTTTGTCCTTAAGGATCTTCAGGACAACAAAATATTGTTCCGTGGCCATAATCAGGAAGGCATCTACCCCATTTGTCTCCGAAGCCATCATCTGGTTCATGCTCTCCGCATAACACCCGACTCCACCTCTCTCTGGCACGCACGCCTGGGTCACCCTCATCACCGCTCGATGACTACACTATCCAAGCTACTACCAACTACTAGCATTAGTTTTTTACCTTTTTTTTGTACTTCATGTAAAGTGGCTAAAAGCCACAAGCTTCCCTTCCCAAAGGAAGCAGCTCATATATCTACCCCCTTTAGCTTAATACACACTGACGTTTAGGGTCCCTATGCTCTTCCCTCATTATTTGGATACCGATATTATGTAATCTTCATTGACGATTGCTCTCGCTTCTGCTGGTTGTACCTAATGCACTCTAAAAAAGAAACTAAAATCAAATTCCAGCATTTCTATCATCTAATAAAGAATCAATTCGCATCTTCCATCTGCACAATACATTACGATGGAGGAGGGGAATTCACCGGTCATGACTTTAAAAATTTTCTCCTGAATCATGACATCCATCACGAGTTCAGCTGCTCCTATACCCCAGAGCAAAACGGAGTATCAGAGAGAAAACACATGCATCTCCTTGAAACCACCCGCACTCTCTTACATGTTGTCAATCTGCGATCTCAATTCTGGGTTGAGGCCGTTCAAACATGTAACTACCTGATCAACAGACTACCAACCTTTCCTCTACACTCTCAGATACCCTTCCAAATACTACACGACCATCCACTAAACTATGAACATCTCAAAGTATTTGGATGCTCATGCTTTCCCTAGCTTCAGCCTCAGACCCCACACAAACTAGCACCTCGCTCCACACTCTGCATATTCCTTGGTTACTCAACCTCTCACAAAGGTTACCGCTGTTACAACCTTCAAAATAAAAAAATTCATATTTCCCGTCATGTCATCTTCAACGAACACCACTTTCCCTTCACAAATCAACCAATTATCCATGCTCCCACCACACCAGATTCCACCCCACCTCTCCCCCTAATTCCCACCTCCACATACTCAAACCCACCACAGGCAACTACTCCCAACTCCTACGGATCAACGACTCATATACCTCAACCCACTCCCTCTCAATATACTACACTTTCTCCCAACATCTCTCAGACATCAAACACACTCACATGCAGTTCCCCTCCTCCCTGTCCCGCACCCAAACATCCTATGCAAACACGTCTTCAAACCGGCCACCTCAAACCAAAAAAAAATATTTGACTTACTTGTTGTAACATATACAGGTCTTACTCTTTCTTGCTACACTCAAGCAGCCAAAACTTCTCATTGGCGCAATGCAATGTCAGCCGAGTTTATGGCCCTTCAAAAAAAGGGTACTTGGCATCTCACACCATCTCCCAGTCATGCCCTAGTCCTTGGCTGCAAGTGGACATACAAAACAAAGTTAAACACAAACGACACAGTTCATCGCTACAAAGAACGGCTGGTTGCTCAAGGATACAACCAATAATACGGTATAAATTACCAACAAACCTTCAGTCCCGTGGCAAAGATGCCAACAATCCAAGTGCTCCTCATCATTTCCTTCCAAAGGAGTTGGCCCATTCTCCAATTCGACGTCAACAATGCCTTTCGTCATGACGACCTTCAAGAAGAGGTCTATATGCAGCAACCTCAAGGTTTCGTTGATCCTAAGTCTCCCAATCATGTGTGCAAACTAAATAAGGCCATTTACGGCCTTAAGAAGACACCGCGCCAATGGTTTCACAAACTGACAACGTTCCTGCTCAACTTCGACTTCCAATTCAGCAAAGCCGATCCATCCTTGCTAATCTAGAACACTCAGGACATTCAACTCTACCTAGTAGTATACATAGATGATCTACTTCTGACAGGAAACCATAACCCCACCATTCATGCGCTCCTCTCTCAACTAAAACTGGCATTTGCACTAATACAAATGGGCACGGACAATCTCTTTCTCGGTATACAGATTCAGCATACCCCAACAGGCCTGTTTCTATATCAAGCACATTATGCCAAAGAGATCCTTCACTCTTCTGGACTGGACTCACCAATCAATACTCTAATCTCTCTGAAAGACTCTCGGCTGACCACAAACCAATCTCTGTATGAGAATCCTACCTTTTACCGTCAGATAGCAGGCTCCCTGCAATATCTCACTGTGACGAGGCCGGACATTGCCCTTCGCCACCAATGTTATATGTCAATATATACACAGTCTGACAGCTAAAGACTTTCAGCGGCTCAAACGCCTTCTCAGATAAATCAAAGGAACTTAAGACTATGGACTACCCATTTCAGCTGGCCAACTCACTCTCACAACATATGCAGACGCGGACTGGGCATCTAGCATAAAGGACAGAAAGTCCATCACGGGATTCTGCACATACTTGGGTCCAAATCTCATATTGTGGAGCGTAAAGAAACAAACCACTGTGGCCAAATCCTCAACTGAAGCAGAATACAGAGCTCTCGCCGCTACAACCTCCGACGTCATATGGCTACGTCGTCTCCTACACGACTTTCATGCTCCGCAGTCTCAACCCACAGCGATCTTCTGTTACAACATATCTGCCATCGCACTCGGTAACAACCCTACCTTTCACGTCAGGACCAAGCACATTGAAATAGATCACCACTTCATCAGTGATCACATTTAACGCAAAGCAATTGACGTCTCCCACATAAGCTCCATTGATAAGCCGGCGGACATCCCACCAAACCTTTAACCATACTCAGGTTTGCTGACCTTCGCAACAAATTGATTATCTGCAAACCAGATAGTCAATTTGGGG